GTCAAGTGAATAGTGTTTGTCAGTCAATGATGTTATAAGTCTGGTCCGTTGAACGTGATTGGTCAGTTTAGCCATGATGGCATTGGCTGAAAGACTTGTGTTAAGGTTGTCATCAGTCATTGGTCAGTTTCGATCTGTCTATTGTTAGTCAGATTGGTTGGTGTTTGGTCCATCTGTTGTTTGTCAAATTAAGTCAGTCTGTTAGAAGTCAGTTTTGGTTTCCTTTCCATCGTGAATAAGTTGTTTGTAAGGCGCTGGTAGTTGTTGACATCTGTTAAGAGGCATTTGTTCTGGGTGTACCGGCTTTCCAGAGTGAGTCGTTGAAAATAGTTTGAACTGTAGGTTAAGCACTGAACAGAGTCCCAGTCAATGTGGCAGTTTGTCAGTTGATGATGTACAGCAATGTGATTGTTGGCATCACCATTTCTTGAGGCTTAGAAGAGCCTATTTTATCAAATTTTTGGTCAGGTCATAAATAGGGTACAGATAATTTCAGATTTTTTTAAATAGGGTACACATAAGGGTTTTGGGAAGCAGTTTGCAAACCCCCTCCCACTTTTTCTGGGAGTATCCCTGCCGGCCCTTCCTTGAGTCATTTGATTATAAGTCAAACGTGACATTCATGCCATGTTTTCTTATTTTTCCAGGGTTTAATTCCTGGGAAGAATTATTCATATCGGGTTCAAAGTGGAAGTAATATTAGTCAAGGATTTGAATTTACTGCAAAGAGAGATGATGAGGTTAGTCATTACTTTAATTATTTAGTTAAATATGGAATAATTAATTAATTTAATTTAATGCGTATGTATATACTCCTATTTCTGTTGGTCAAACAACAGTAAACTATGCAGGTCAACTTCTCTGTAACAGCTGAGGGTGTGGGTTGGCTGTAATTTGATGCTCACTACCTAAAATATTTACATTTATTCAATTATGTTTAGTATGCAAAAAGGACATGATACATGTACATTCATCTTACATACATGACAAAATTCAAGTTCCCATCTGTGATTAAAGCCTGTGATAATGTCAAATTGTCATCGTAGACATAAAATGTTTCTTATGTTCTTAAGGTATGATATCATTGTGATTAAAAAAAAGGTGTAACAAGAAATCGGAGAAGTTGTTGCATAATTTATCTATTGTTTATAAATAAGGATTACACTGTTAAACAGACCTGCCGCCCTGCTGTNATAACTGCAAATAAAAATACCAGTAAGTAAAGGTAGAGCTAATTTCACGAGTTTGAGTACACACAAGTGCGCGAGAGAAAGCCCTGTACCCAAGAACATCGGTTTGACGTTTTGGTAAGTAAATATACAGCGAAAAATATGATGGCTGAGTTTTGTTTCTAAGACGAAGAAAGGAACCCATTCAAGTGAAACTTTCACACTGAGGCCTATTTTATATGACAGAAATTTGGCACAAAATTTATCCGTGCTGTGCTGAACCATTTTTTGGTACGCGTGACATTATTGGAACCCGTACCCAAAATTTCCTGTCATGTAAATGGGTCTTTAGAATGTTCGTTAATAACGTTTGCTATCTGAACATGCTGAGAACAATTCTGTCGTAGTTTTGGATTGTCTGGAAATTCAACTGGTCGTGAGTAAAAATGTTTCTGACTGCCTTCCTTACGATTTGTTTCGTTATCTCTAAAAGGCTTTAGTGTGATATCAAGATCCTTCTCCTTATAACGATCAGGCACTGTAATCTCAATACTTGTGATGCGGTAAGGGAAAATTCACACTGGTCACCACTGACTGTTTGTTTCCCGTAGAATGGCGACGCGTTTATGAACAGGATTGAGCCCATTGCAGCACGGATTCCTTACATGACGTGTGTTGGAAATCACGGTAACAACGAAACTAACCAGTCAGACGTTAGAACGAAAACTGAGGAGGATGCTTTCCATTCGGCACAACATTCCGGTTTGAATTTCCGGAAATTACTATTGACGAATGGAACAGCATTTTTCGGAATTTATGGGAAAAGAGGATAACCTCGCGAAGCATATCCAAATTTTTAGGAAACTTTTGCCGAGAATTTCCGTTCCATTTGATTTTCGTCCCAGAATTTCCGGAATTTTCGGTTGAA